TCGTGAATATATCGTATTAATTGAATGTATAAAAGCAATAAGAGGGGGGAATTTTTGACTTAATCACTAAGATCCAAAATAAGTAGATAAAATCTAAACAAATAAAATAAAAATAAAAATAAAAATAAGAAATTTCTAGTTCACGGTTCCATCTACACCCTCGGCTGACTCGTCTAATCAATTTTGGAATCAAATCTCGTTATCTTATCAAATTACTAGCCCTAGGTAACGACACGGTCTGTTACCCGAATTTTTCCTTAATTTTAATTTAATCGCGAGACGCTCTATGATTAAACCTGACTTCTTGTACAGTCCAGAAAAGCATTTTCAAGATTTAATACAATTAGCCGCTTTACGAATTAGAAAAATAGGCTAGACTAAGTAGTGAACTCAACCGCGTTCGTACACTTAAATAGGCCGTGTTATCCCCGGTAGTTACCGTCTTCCGGTAGCCTCTAATGAACTAAACATAACAACAATTACGGATTGAAGGTCTAATTCAGCTGTAGATATGAAAAGCCTAATCTAGGTGATCAGTCTAAATAAGACTCAACACATCATGGTTAATTATTCAAAATAACACAAACAATTCCAAAAAGATAACTCAATAATTGACCACGAAAATCAATCAAACATCATCAAGTCGTAAGGTTCGACATCCCCGGAACTAGAAATAAGAACTACTCTAACATAATAAATAAAAATAAAAGGAGAAGAATATAGTTATCCTCCTCGTGTACGGATGCGGCCTCCCTCCGCGACTGATCGAGTTCCTCGCGTTCGTCCTCTGTCTTGCGTAAAATAATTTCCCTGCTCTGCTGCGGCTCTCGCTTTCTGTGCGTGAATAATATCCTGTAGGCTGCGTATCTTTCTTGCTTTTGTGGCTAGCTATATGATCAAGGGTACTTGTGTGTATTATTTTCTTTCCAAATAATTCCTTTCCTCCAAAAAGTGGCTGTGTGTATCTCTGCCAAAGTAATTTTCCTATTCATCTCACTGGGCCACATATTATGCTGTTGGGATAACTCAATTGAGTGGCAGCACTTATTTAATTAATCTCTAGCCCAATAAGACTTCTATTATCACAAGTGCTGGGCCTAATTTCGTACATGGTATAAATGGGTCCAAATACTGGGCTGGTATTGGGTACTGCTAGGTCAATACAGGGCGCCCCCGTACTGCTCCGGATGAAATTTCTTCCAATGTCACGTCCTCGCCGAAAACACTCCAATATCCTAAAAATAAACCATAAAAATATCAAAATACAAGAATCCGTCTAACAAATAAATAAGTCGAAAGACATATAAGTGCGACAAAATTAAGCATATAAAAATACGCTAATAAATATATAATATACACACTTTTTCCAACTAATCACTTATCTACGGGCGTTGTGAAAATTTTAATACATATCCATAGTGGGGTGAAATGACTATTTATAATATTCTCCAAATAAATATATCATGTGCTTCGCACGGGTCACGTACTATATATATCTCATACATTTTTCTGTATTCATATATATAATTATAAGCCTGGATAAATAGTATTAGAATTGTGCACCCGTGCATCGCACGGGTTCTGTACTAGTTGACTTGAAGATCAAACAATTCATAATTCTTGTCTCCTAATAAATCTTTGTTTCTACCATTAATTAATTTAATCCCCTTCATATCAATACTCTCGTACATTTATTTAGATACAAGCACTTAGGATGACGGTTAAATACAATTTTTTGTCTCTTTTCTTTTATGCATGTCAATAGAGAAAAGGTGTAATGTTTTTCTCTTTTTAATAAGGATATATTGCTAAAATTATGTAATGACCATTTAAAATTAAGAATGTGTTTGTATGCAACAGATTTGACTTAAAATGAGTTTTTTTTAGTTAATTGGAGTTAATTTTGAAAAAAAAAGGTATGGCTAGTTGTTAGTGAGATTTTAATTTTAAAATAAAATAATTAAAATGGAGATATATTGTGTGAAGTGATGGTTAGTTAGAATTATGTGAGAGGAGGAATAGTAAATTAAAGTTGGTGTGATGTGTAAGAATGATTGGTTGATATTATTTAGTTAGAATGATAATATTGAGGATAGTGGAATTGAATTAAATTTTAATTAAATTTTGAGTATGAATTGAGTATGTATTGAATTTTTTCATATACAAACACACTGTAAGTATGCTGCACAAAATAACTATTAACTGAAAATATAGTATTGAAGTATATTCCTAAAATCTATACTCTTACTTATAAAAAGATTGAAAGCCTCATTCTCATAAGGCCACGTGGCGTCTTTTTAAAAACTATGGCCTGCGATGAAACGACTCCGTTGTGATTTTAGGATCAAACGGCGTCGTGCTTGGCTGAATTATTTGGATGTCGGGTTCTTTGTTTTCTCACTTTTATTTTTTACACGTTTTCGCTCTTTTTTCGCGTCCTCTGCTTGCCGATACCTTCTTCTCGCAATCAGGTGTGCCTAGGGTTCCTACATTTTTTACGAGGTATTGTATTTACATTTGTCCTTTTTTGCGGTGAAGATGAAGTAAATTCTGGGTGCTGTTTTTTTATTTTCGCATTCAATGAAACCCTAATTAAGATTGAAACAGTCGTTTTGTAATTTAAAGTATGCATTGTTTAAGTTTTCAGAATGCTCTTGAAGGTGGCGGAGCACTCAATCGAGGATGCGGCGACAATAGTAGAGTCGGCCTAAAAAAATAGAGAAAANATTCTTTGGTTTTCAATTACATTCATACTTTTTACCATTAGCCTCTATTTGTTTGGTTTGATTCAAAATTTTTTAATTGATTACTCTAATTGCTTTTTTAATTGATTACTCTAATTGCTTAGGGGGTGATTGTTTATGGATTGAACTAGTTTTTATTTGGTTTGCTTTTAACTATAGTTAATTTTGAAAAAAAATGGTATGATTAGTTGTTAGTGGATATATTAAAATAATATTTAAATATAATAATTAAAGTTGATTTGATGTAAAGTAGGATGAAAATGATTGGAAGTGATAGTTAGTTAGAGTTATGTGAGAGGATGAATAGTGAATTAAAGTTGATGTGATGTGTAAAAATGATTGGTTGATATTATTTAATTATGTTGATAATATTGATGATAGTGGGATTGAGTTAAAGTTGAGTTAAAATTGAGTTGTGATTGATTTTTTTACAATTCAATTCATATACAATCACCCCCTTAGCTTTGGTTAGTCTTGCTATGATATATTCGATTGAATAAGTGTCATTATGTATATATTATTATTATTTTTTTAAATTAAGGGAGTGTAAAGAAGCACCAGAACTTTCTGATGGCATCATCATCATCATTACAATGAGAAATTCAGATATCTACTTGCAGGGATTT